CTTTATTTCGGTAATATCCTTACTTCTCTCCTCGTTTCTTCAGGACTTAATTTGCTTTGACTGATACATGGACTCTTCTGTCCAAGAGTTTTTGATTCAGGACTAACTATAGCACAAAGTGGCACCGTAGGGAGAATAAATTCGAAATCAGTGATTTTTTTTTTTCTTTTTTTTTCCTCTTTTTTACGATGTGCAGAGCCTGTAACTGGCAGAAAGGCGACCGGAGGACGAGAATGGAGTATAGAAGGAAGAAACGTCCTCGCGAAAATGCAAAGGACCTTCGGCCCGTTAGGAATGCTACACGGATACATGGAAAATCGAACTCGCGTCAAGGTAGGTCAAGACTTGTTCACATTTTTCCATGATCGTGCAGTTTCAACGATTACCTGTTTTCTTCTATCGTCGCAAGCAATAAACGTATTCATATTTCAAGCATCCTAGGAAAGGAAGATGAAAGAAACACAAGAAATATTTAAAAAAAAAGTAACTCTGAAATCATCGAGTAGATAAAAGTCAATACGACGACCTGACCATCTCGACTCGACTCTCGTGCGATCGGTGGAAATTCGAGGGTAGTCCTCAAAGCTGTAACACTGTAAACACCCACGCCTCTCATTTCTGCCTGACCCCTGGCATTGTGCGCGTACGCACACGCGGTTGACACACTTTCGCGACCGAGAGACACGTGCGCGAGCCCTTCGAAGGTAAACGAGGGTTGGAAACGTGGCCGAAAGGTGCGGATAAAAGGAGAAAGGATATTGTTCGGGTCAACACTCGTCTCCATGGAGACAAGCGGGGCCTGTCTCGTCTTGTTTACGCCCCTGGATTTCCCCCTTATTTTCGAGGGCCGCTTTGAAAAGGCAAGGTCAAACGTCGTAATGTCTATTTCCAAAAGGGTTCTCTCTCTCTCTCTCTCTCTCTCTCTCTCAGTTACCTAATCTCAAATACTTTGAGATTTATAAAACAATTGCACGTATCAAAGCGATAGCATATCTATAAGTCTATAGGTTATGTTATAATAGCGCGATCGTTATCTCGCTAGAGCGGCTTTTTTCATTATGTGTCGCCGTTTCGTTTATTAACCCTTTCACAGTGTAATGAAAAAGAATCGGACGATCGTGATGCAATTATCAATGTTCACTTTGCACACGCGTGCTAAAATAGTAATTGTAAATTATTACCATCGATTTCCGGTAAATATATCTTAAAAAAAATATATATATATATGTTTTATTAGGAAATACCTTCTCAGATAAATATATAATAGAGAAATAACTACATTCTGAATCAAAATCGTTCATTTCACTAGTCGAAGAGTTAATGTAATGCAACTTCCGGGAGTAGGTTAGCGATTACAGCGACGAAGATATTGCAAGGTTAGAGAAAAGCCGGGTACTTTATCTGGCCGGTTGCGTAACGAGAAAGCGAGGACGCGCTCGTATCAAACATTTTTAATCTGGCCGTGGTGGCATTCTTCTTCGACGGAGAAACTGAATATCGCGTGTGAGTCAGACGGCGATCCGATGAAATCACGTGAAGACGTTTCTGGATCGTATCAGTCCCCGACAACGATCGCGAGCCATTTTTCTCGCGCGGCCGGAAAATAAATCACCGTGCAAGGTCTGTTGTTTGTTTCATTTGCTTTTCCTCGCAAAGACCGGATCGCGTCGTAACGAAGAGAAATCGAGAGCCGAGCGGAGCCGCTGGCTCGTCCCGATCGGATCAAACGACGAAAGCAAGAAAAAAAAAAGAAAAAAAAAAAAA